CGTCAGGGCTGTGTTTGGACGTGGCTGTCTTTGTTCTTCATTTTCTGGAAGTAGATTTTAAGAACCTTGCTGTATTTTTGTGTAATTATTAATTAAGAGAAAGTACTCCGCCATTTTACTCCGACGAAAGTTCCCACCTCGTAAACACGAACTTCCCAGGAGCACATGAACGCACCATGTAAATGTAAATCATGTACACTATTGTTCAAAAGTTTGGGGTCAGTAAGATTTTTGTTGATGTCTTTTTAATTAAGTCTGCACAATATATTGTTTTAGCATCGATATCGCAGGATGTGCAATGTCAAGTATAGGGATCAGCTGCTCCCTGGGTAGGAACTCGATTGATTTGCCATCATAGAGTGAATGTTTATCATTTGCATGTGTTTTAAGTCCTGTCAGTTTAAGCATCAAGCGCAAAAAGACTGGAACTGGTTTTCTGTGTGCGCACATGGAGCCTCGCAGACAGCACTTGAATGCCGAATTCAGTTCTCTTTCTCTTTCTCTTGAGCTTGAACAGTCACGTGCATGCAACATGAAGTCAAAATGCCTGTTTCGGCAAGTCTCCTCGTAAACACAGTCGGTCATGTGTTGTAAACAATTGAGTAAAAAAACGGATCCGTATCATTATATTTGATCCTTGCTTTAGTCTTAAAGTGACAGCAGCCTAATATACCCACAGATGCTTGTCACCAATGTTAATCAACCAAAGAGAAAGAGAAAATCACTTTTGTAGCTTTAACAAAGATCATTTTGTTTCAAAACCTTATTTTAGCAGAAACACATAATGAACTCATTCTTATTTATTTCACAGGAAACATTCTTTAATCCTTCCTTTTCTCTCTTTCAGGAGCGGAGTCTATCTCTGTGTATGAGGATGTGTTGCGCTCCATTCGCTATCGCTTAGCAAAGGGCTCTGCTCGTTTTGAAAGAAGATTCCGTCTGTCGTGCTCAGAAATGAACGGCCGGTACACCAGCAACGAGCTCACGCTGGAGGTAATGAACACCACTGAACACACGCGACACTGATATGGATCCTTCAGCCTGACCTACAGCACACTAACCTAGTACACACACTTCTTGACAAAGAACACCATCGAAAGTTCACACTCTTAATGTTGATGCATAATTAACACACAATCTCACTGTCTTTGTCTTGCTCAGGTGAACTTCCTGCATTCTCTGGACAGTCTGTACCATCCGTCTCACCTGCTGGCGTCTCAGCAGCAGTTCCTCCACCCATCCCATCACACTGGAGAACTGAGTGGACACACACTCCCCAGCCCACACCGCAACTCAGGTACATGTCTGAAATATGTAAACACAAATATTTACTGATATATCTAAATAGGATTAAAAGTGATTAAATGGTTAGTAAAGTTATTAAAGGGTAATTTAAGCTCTTAAGGTCAATTTATAATGTTAGTAAATTGTCTTTTTTTACTGCAAGAGTTTTGAGTTTTGAAACTTACAGTATATTGTAATAGTATAATAAAATCATTCATCTCAAAAGACAGTTTTATTCCTCATGATATAACCCTTTAAAAAAGTATAAACTATAAAGAATAAACATAATGTCTCTCTCTCTCTCTCTCTCTCTCTCTCTCTCTCTCTCTCTCTCTCTCTCTCTCTCTCTCTCTCTCTCTCTCTCTCTCTCTCTCTCTCTCTCTCTCTCTCTCTCTCTCTCTCTCTCTCTCCTCATGCGTAAAGTTGTTCCAGGAGCTGCAACTGTCATCATCATGGTGTGCGTGGGTTTCTTGGTTGTCATGGTGATTCTTGGTGTCTTCCGCATCCGTTCCATCCACCGTCGTGGTGACGGAGCAAGAGGCGGAGGCAAAGAGGGCAGTAACCAATGGGATGATTCGGCCCTCACCATCATTGTGAACCCAATGGAGGTATGAATCCAAAAGTAGATACATATACTACTTTTCAAAGGTTTGGGGTTGGTAATTTTGTTTGTTATATTTTTGAGAAAAATAAATGCTGTATGCTCACCAAGGCTGCATTTATTTGATAAAAAATACGGGAAAAAACTGTACTATTGTGAAATATAATTTAAAATAACTGTTTTCTATTTGAAAATATTTTAAAATGTCATTTATTCCTGTGATGGAGTCTTCAGTGTTACATGATCCTTCATGAAATCATTCTAATATGCTGATTTGGTGCTCAAGAAACATTTCCTATTAATATCAATGTTGAATCAGCTGTGCTGCTTAATATTTTTGTGGAAACTATGATTCCCCTTTTCCCAGGAATCCTTAATGAAAATGAAAAACAACAATTTATTTGAAATATAAATCTTGTGTAACATTATAAATATATCTTTACTGTCAGTTTTGATTACCGTAAGTAAATGCATCCTTGCTGAATTAAACTGTTATTTTATAAAAGAAAAAAATCTCTTACTCACCCAAACTTTTGTACTGTAGTGTATCAGCATTATTACTGATATGTGTGGTATCTTACACGTCTCTCTTCATATTCTCTCTCTTAGACATACGAGAACCGCATGGGTATTGCAACAGATATTGAAGGAGAGTGTGATGATGAGGAAGAAGTAGTGGATTCGCCCGATGATACCAGTGATGACCAACGAATCATCATCAAGAAAGAGGGAAGAGACTCCGCCCCCAGACGCTACTGAACCAATTAGCCATGCCCACATTCTAAAACTCCTCCCACTCATTTAAAATACAGGAATATACACACACAGACGCACCATCAAAGATAATGAAAAAAGTGTCTAAAACACCTGTGACACAATTATAGGATCTCAGCCTCTGTGAATGCAATGCTTCTCTCTGGAATGTACGCTCCCACAATGCACAAAGCATTCCCTAGTCACCACTCTCGAATCAGATCCCAATATTTATTAATGGCACAATTATGTTCATTCATCCTACAACCTTTCCAATTGATGTGCTCACAACACTGTATTAAACATAAGGAAAACACTAATTGTCAACTCATATAAACTAATTGACTCAGAATGTTTCAAATTACAGCCCTTTGTAACTAATATAATGTCTACGTACAAAACGACTTCAGAAGCTGTATTTCCTCTGCACAATCTGTCTCTTGATACATTCCTTGAACAAATTCACATGTACAGATATAGAGGACTAGTCAGTAAAGGTGTTTCGTAATAGTGATAGACAGCAGCTAGGTATGCAAGTGCTTTCTTTTAAGCATCACAACACACACGCACGCACACACAAATCTTTTGTGCACCTCTTCTCACAACCTCACGAAAAACACAGTACAGTGCAATGCCCTCTGCTGTATCAGAATGTTAGCTCAACCTGGGCAGTTTTGATTGTACTTAAATGTGTGTAAATACAAATGACTACTACTATTATTATCATTTTTTTGTTTCATTATTTGCGTTAATTTTCAGTCTTTGCACTTTCAGATAGGCTAGGCTTGGAATTTTTTTCTAATATCTCTACTGGTAATATACAGTGACAATGACAATAATAGTATTAGTAATAAGAGCGGTAATGATTGGCTTGATGAATGTCTATTTATTTGTGTGTTCAATTGTGTAATTTAAAACTTGTTAATATCTGATTCACAGTGAAACAGAAAGGCATATTATTGTAATGCCTAAACACTCCCACTCTGCCATCATCCTCCCTCTCTCTTTTCTCCCCCGTCCTTTCTCTATCCTTACACTCTTTAGATACTGCCACTGCTTTTTTGGGTTTCTGAATGTACAACTGTGCCAACCCTTCCTCATTCCAGCTCGCACTTCCCTCTCTTTTCCCGTGACTATTTCTCTGTCTGTGTTAGTGTACAGTGGAAACCTGTCAGTAAATAAAGGCCTGTTGTTTTTGCAGTGTGATATTAAGAATGGATAAATTTGCATTAATAAGCTATATTATTTCAATGGTTACCATTGGGAAAATTAACTATACTTATAGACACAATGACATGGATTATATGGATTGATTGTTATTGATAACCGTCTGAAGAAATAACCTGTTCAAAAAATTCATAATAAAAACACACGGATGACGTCAGAATGTGGTCTCTGGTTTTTTCATGTTGTTCTTGAAAGGGGATAGTTGAATACAACAGTCAGAATGGCATAAACAGTCAATTTACAACAAGAAACATGAAAGGCTCAAAACATCAGAACCAGACCAAATCCAAATCAGAAAAGATTAATAAATATATTTAGGGGGGAAAAACGACTGCGCATGTTAGCAAGGGCTTCTAAAAATGGTTTCATTGATTTTATAAATATAACAAACGGAGTGGGGAGAGGGAAGTGGTAAGGAATCTACATTTATTTATTTTGCCAATATTATAATGCTATTAATCAAATAAAACAAAACACGGCCGTCTTTGGTTGTTCCATACATTCTATTTTATAAGGTGAAAGTAAAGTATCAGCAACCACAGCTTTCCTGATTACTTTGAAAAAAGGTAACAGCCAGAATAAATAAAATGAAAAAATAAATATATATATATATATATATATATATACACAAACAAACAAATAAATAAATATGGAACAGTTTTTTTAAAGAAAGTGACATTAGCAAGACAACAACTGTACAAATGAAATGGATTTAAAAAAATCACAGAAATCTGAACAATATTATTAAAATTGCAACAAACTTGTTTATTCCCATCCTGTTGGGCAGCATGTTCATTTTCTTGCCATTGTGTTCTATAAATTAATAAAGCAAGAGCTTTACAAGTTTATATTTCTGTTCTGGTTGGCAGCCGTTATAGCAATACTCCCCTAAATTACAAATTACACGTATATTCATTTTCAAAAGTTACAGAACTCAAAAGGTACTGCACAACAGGAATGAATTTAAATCCTTTAAAGCACATTTCCCTTGATGTTGAAACAATGGGTTATCAACCTGTCACTCAAGGCATGCGCTGTCACTTTAGGAACTTTACGTAACTTCAGCGTAAATCTCGCTCCGCCCGTCTTGATGCTCAGCACAGTTCAAAGCGCTTGTCTTTACGCAAACTGCGTTCGTGAATAGCCGGAGCGTAGCGTGTTCGTCTGGCTGGTTCGCTCATGTTTCAGTGGGCCACACGGGGAAGGTAAATAAAGACAGGACGGTCACCAGCGCAACATTTACCCGCCAGGAACCGACAACCAGGGGGCCGTTAACCTCAGCCGTCTTTTTTAGGGCCTGCTTCGTTCTGTCGTGTTTTGCTTTTGTCAAAACTGCATTACTCACGGGATAAAAGGAGAAAGAGAGGAGAAGAGAGGTGACAACATCGCCTGGGCAGGTGAGAGGAGTGAGTTTATTTAGCTTGTAAGCTAACTGTCTGCAGCATAGTTGACTTAGTTGACCTGATAGCTTTATTGTTATCATTCATAGCTGTTGCACAAACAAGGCTGCGAATAGCTAACCGGTTGTGGTCTAACGTTAGTACGTTGGGATGTTCAACTGCCATTTACACTTGGAAAAAGCGACACTTGCCCTCAGTAATGTTTCTGTGCTGAAGCCAAACTGACAGCAGACAAGAACCAGATCTGAGCAGAAGAGTTATGCATGTATGTTTTCATAACAGTGATCAGATGGCCAATTCAACCGGTGGCCACTCTTGTTCATCTCAATGGTTTTTCATCAGAGGTGTCATGCACGAGGGAAGCAGGCTGTTTTGGAATTATTGCATAAGGACAGCAAAGTAGACCTGCACTGTTTGTGCACGTGCAATCTTGGTTAATTGTTAATAGTCTTCAGGAACAATGGAATCTGTGTAATCCTTCTAGTCTGGATAAGCTGATGGAACATATGTTTATGTCAGTGGAAAGGTAGCTCAGTCCACAGGATTAATCTCAAGTCGATGATTCATTGTCTTCCAGGCTCTGTTTATAGCCTCACGATGAGCGCAGTAACTTTCTATGCAACTAGGGCTACAACCTTTCTGATACCAGTCTAGAGGTTCTCTACCAGGGGGCTGAAAACTTATTTTAAATGAAGAGAAAACAACAATAAGCTTAAACAAAATCCCATATCATTTTAATTTCTAGACTTGGAAAAGTAATGTAAAGGATTGAAATGGACATTTTATAATGAGCATACATTTTTGATTTATAGCATAACATGATATCTACTAACATGTGCTACATGTTCAAATAAAGTTGTGATGTCAAAATGATACATGATTGGTATTTATCTACTCCGTGAATAATTAATTATACATACCTTAGTATATAATAATTATTATTATTCATTACATTTATATTTATAGATTGGTCTGAACAAAAACTGCAGACAGGCTGAATGAAAATGTAAATCCACTGACAGTAGGTGGCACTTATGGAACTGCAGAAAAAGAGCCTCTAAAAGTTCACCCTAAAATGAAAATTAAGTCATTATTTACTCACCCTGGTGTTGTTCTAATGCCGTATAGCCTTCCTTACTTGTATGGACTACAAAAGGAGATTTTTTTTTAAAAATGTCCCGCTCACGCTTGTCATATAATGTGAATCGCGACCAGCATCAAGCTTTTTAAAATAGACGCTACAGTATCACAGAATGATTCCATGCGACTCGTGTTCTGGAGGTATATGATATGTGTTTGTCGCAACAAGAAGTTATCGCATTCACCTCTGTCACCTGTCATTCTGACTGTCACCTGACAGCAGAAGTTCTGGTCCGAAGGTATTTAACTATTTTTGGGATTTCTAGGCATTGTATTTGTTGTCACTTTGTCGTTAATACTTAAACTATGAAATGTTAATACTAACCGTCTGGTATTTTATCGTGGTTTATCGTCAAACCGGTAACAGTTTCATCCCTCACATAAATACTGATGAAAGCCTAAATGTTAATGCCATTGAATATTTTCGAAAACAAAACTAGGGCGGACAGTGGTGGGCCTTGGAGTCAAAAAGGTTGAGAACCACTGATCTAGACCCTTAACCACTTCACTTTTATAACATGCCACTTAATGATGATATTTCACTTACTTGTAGATATCTCAAGGTGTTAGTTTGATCCAGCCTCACAGTGTGTTGCCATGGCGATGCGGGAGTTAGTGGATGCGGAATGTGGGGGAGCCAATCCCCTTATGAAACTGACTGGTCACATGACCCAAGAAGGAGGGGCTTGGAGACATCGATCAACACCCACTGTAAGTTACTAAACTTTTTTTTTTGTAACCGGGGCAAATGTTTAGCTCCAGCCCTGATAAAACACAACTGAACAACTAATCAAGGTCTTCAGGATTACTACAAAGCTACAGGCAGGTCAGCTTGATCAGGGTTGGAGTTAAACCCTTCAGGAAAGTGGACCTAGAGGGCCAGAGTTGAGAACATCTGATGTAAATACACTGATTTGCCAAGAATGTGTCGATTCATCATACTGTTTACAATCATCCCTAATGATGGGGACTCCGGCTCTTTAGCATGCTGAAAATGAGACTTTATCCCAAAAATCTTGAGTCTGATCATCAAAAGTTTGGGAATTAAATTTTGTTTTGAATTTTGTTTTTTGCGGGCATGACAACAGCATTCTATAAACAAACCTGCAAATTATAGGACTCGCAACCGCATTAATATGCGAATAATGCAAATAATCCTCATTAGTTGCAGCCTTGAAAATAATAAAATATAATAATTAAATTAACATTAAAATCTTTTTCCCCCACCATAGATTCCCCCTACTCCAATCGAAATAGCCACGGAAGAGGAGGTGTGTATTTTGATCTTTCAATTACAATGACCTGATGTTTGTGTCGGGTCAAGTAGTCTGTGATCATGTCCCATGTTCTTAGTGTAATGACATCCTGTTGTTTTTGAAATCCAGCTGGTCAGTGAGTTTCTACAGGCCCCACAACGGCCTCCTCACAGTTTTGATATGGGTCAACTGCTGGAGGAAATGCAGCAGATAGATCAACAAAACTACAGACAGGCTCCACAGAGAGGTAGCGTGCACAAACACACATCCAGACAGATTTCAGCATGTTTCAGTGTGATATAACTATATGTTTTAATTTCTCAGCTCCTGATGTGGCTTCTCTGGCGCTGTCTGGCGATTGGGCGGCAGAGTTCTTGTCCACTGCTGACTCCGTCTCTTCTTCTGGACAAGCTGGTCTTGATCCAGCTGATGCTGATTGGACCAGAGAATTCATCAATGAAGTTGCAGGTTAATAAGTGTGTGTGTGTGTGTGTTTATATATATATATTAGTGCTGTCAAACGATTAAAATATTTAATCGCGATTAATCGCATTAATGTCATAGTTAACTCGTGATTAATCGCAATTAATCGCACATTTTTATCTATTCTAAATGTCTCTTGATTTCTTTTTGTCCCATTCTTTTTTTCTCATTTTAATGCTCTTATCAACATGGAAAAGTGGATCGGCTTGCTTTGTGCAAATTTTTTTTATTGAAAACAACATTGGCATATACTGTGTTCAATTTCACACTAACATTCTCACTTGGAGAAAATAATCTCTCACACAATGTAACACTGTCCATCAATAAAAGGAAATAAGTGAAATAAATACTGACGAGGTCCTGATATTGATGAGGGGGCAGAGAATTCGCATCAGCTGTGTGTGTGGTTGGCCATCATCAAGTGGTATTTCAGACTGGACGTGCTGCGATGATGATAGCTCAGTTCACAACGACAAAACACACAGATCACTTTGCTCTTGTCAATGGAACCATTTGGCAACTTTTTAAAAGTTATCCTTCCATTCAGAATCTTATTGGCATCCATTTCGGCGTCTCGCGCTCGTCATCCACTCAAAACATAACTTTAACCAATTATTTGGCCGGCTTGCAAGCCTAAACAAGTGTGTGCGACGTTTGTTGTTTTGTTTCTGGTCTAGCTATATCCGCTTGCGCTTTGGTCGACGAAGCAACAAAACGTACTCGCCGCGTCCTGTTGCAAAAGCATGTGAAAAAAACTACAAAGTTTGCTAGGCCAAAAAGACCGTTAATCGCGCGATAAAAAAATTGACGCCGTTAAAATGGGTTTGCGTTAACGCCGTTAATAACGCGTTTAACTGACAGCCCTAATATATATATATTTATATACATACACACACACACCCAACAAAAGTTTTGGCAGTGACATCAATTTTGTGTTTTGCAAAGTTTGCTGCTTCAGTATTTGCAGATAATTTTTTCACATATTTATATGGTATACTGGGAAACAATGATAAGTATTTAATACGTTTTAAAGACTTTTATTGCCAAAAGCATTCGATGCAATATTTACAGTGTTGACCCTTCTTCATGCTGGAAAATGCATGGATCATCAACAAATCGCTCCTGGATCATTGAGAGAAGTTGCACTTGCAGGATGTTTTGATACCATTCTTTATTCATGGAAGTGTTCTGGGGCAGAATTGTGAGAGGCCACTACCATGGATGAAAAGCAACCCCACACATGGATGGTCTCAGGATGCTTCACCGTTGGCACGACACAGGACTCATGGTAGCAGCCACCTTTTCTTCTCAGGAAGAAACAATAAATTTTCCAGATGTCCCAAACTTTCGGAAGGGGCCTTAAACAGAGAAAATAACTGCTTCAGTGTTCTGCTGTCAAATCCTTGTACTTTCTGTAGAATTTCAGTCTGTTCTTGATGTTTTTCTTTGGGAGAAGTGTATTTTTTGCCGCCCTTCTTGACACCAGGTTGCTGTCCAAAAGTCTTGGCCTAGAGATGCACTCACACTCACCTGCTGCATATACTGAGCAAGCTCTGCACTGGTGCCATGTGCTGATGATATGATGAGTGAAATGATGTTAGCTGGTCATTGTGCCAGGGCCAAAAAACTAGAAAATTGGGTTTTTGTTATAAAGTTCTTTTTTTCTTTTCTTTTTTTACCAATGATGCTTTTTGCATTTATTTAAAATGCATCTGATCTGAATCAACACAACAACTGAGGCAGCAAACATTGCTAAACACATTTTATGCCACTTCCAAAACTGTTGGCCATGACTGTATGTATATGCCATATATTATATCCTTTTTTAATTTAAAGCTGCAGTCCGTAGCTTTTTTGGGGTTAAAAATGATCCAAAATACATATTTGAGAAAATACATAACCAGCCAGTGTTCAAAACTCTCTGCTTGTCTTAGCTTGATTCAAAGCGGTAAGCTTGTAATAATGTTTTTAATTCCAGTGGTACTGGTGGATTTCCGCGGGAGATTCGAGCATGTCTTTGCGTCATTACGTCACATCTGTACACATAAAGGAGTCTCGGCTAGTAGGCTATATTGCGTGTGAGGATGCTGGAGGTGGAGATTTATAGCCTTTTCTCACAGCACTTGATATAATTAAACTTATTAATTTGATGGCGGATCCAGAAAGGTTCAAACGATAATCACCAGTAACAACAGATTCACCCGCTGTAAAATGCAAAAGACTTTTGCATGAATACAAAGACTTCGGAGTGGCTACAGAAAAAAAGAGACTGCAACCGGACACATGCGAAAACAAGGGATGCATATCGGAAGGGCATTACATGTAGTCACGCAATGCTGACGTTGTTAACATTAACAATTTGAGAACAAAGTATAATTTGCACGGTTTTGCGTGATATGATAAGCGATTGTTAGATTTAATCAGCGCGATTTACTGCAATGTCAGAACCAGAACAAAAGTGGATGTTTCTTACTTGTTCAGGTGACATTTTCCGGTGAAAATTATCATGTTGGTCATACTTCCAAAAATAATAATCTGTGATTCTGAATGACAGTATCCACACCGGCGCGGTGACTGACAGCTGCACACTCTCCTCAAACATTGTGTTCATCAAAGTGTTCATCACTGTGCTGTCGAAGTACAACTCACGTAAAGTTGATAATTCCGCGAATGACTGCAATTGCAGATTTCGAACAGAGATGGCGACAGAGGAAAAACTGCGGACTGCAGCTTTAAAGGGATAGTTCACTTTGAAATGAATTGTTGGTATGTTTTAGCTTACCTCAAGGGCATCCAAGATGTATATGTCTTTGTTTCCGCAGTAGTTTCAATTTTGATATTTTTAGGTCAAACCGTTCTTGTCTGTCAGTCATATAATGCAGGTCTATGGTCACCACCTCAAAGAGCATGCACAGAGAAGTCCAAATTAAAATTAATTCTCACACAAACCGCTTGTTTCGTGTCTTAGGCCATCAATGTGTACTTACATTTACGAGTCATTAAATCATGTTTAATTTGGACTTCTCTGTGCATGCTCTTTGAGGAAGTGACCATAGACCTGCATTATATGACTGACAGACAAGAACGGTTTGACCTAAAAATATAAAAATTGAAACTACTGCGGAAACAAAGACACCTACATCTTGGATGCCCTTGAGGTAAGCTAAAACATACCAAAAATTAATTTCAAAGTGAACTATCCCTTTAAGATGCTATTAGATGTCATTAAAATATCATTAGATGTCATTCAATGTCATTAGGTGACAATTGACAATTCTGACAAATCTACACTCATCTTTGTTCAGCCATCCTTTCATTCGCCGTAGCTTTACTTTTTTCTGTCGTCTTTTACTATACATACACCACTGAGTTCCCTTCCTCCTGTCTCATAGACCCCGGCCGCTGGGCTGAGGAGTACCTGGAGCAATCAGAGGAGAAGTTATGGCTTGGAGATTTGGGAGAAAGAGAACAGGACAAAGAGTGGTATTTTAGGTTTCTTAAAAGGAATAATATAGAGAGACTCGGCATAAGAATATTATGCACTATCGTTTTATGTTTCGAAAGAAGTCTATTATATTCACCAAGGCTGCATTTATTTGATCACTAATACAATAATTATATACAGCAGTTGTGCTGCTTAATATTTTTGTGAAAACTGTGATACATTTTTTTAGGATTCTTTGATGAATGGAAAGTTCATTAAAATTGGTAAAATTTCTTTCCTGTCACTTTTGATCAACTTAATGCATCCTTGCCTAATAAAAAATAATATTCAAATATTTGAATGGTAACGTACATAGATTATACTAAGGTCAGATCAAGAGTAATAGATGTTTACAGAGTCCTGATCCTATCCTTACTTTAATGTATTTTTTATACTATCAGGACACAAGAATACCAGTCAGGTGAAGAACTACGTCAAACAGCGAATGAACTCCTTGCCAAAGTGGACGACCCTAAACTCAAGAACACAGAGGTGAGAGCAAAAGGAAGAGTCTCCCTGCTATCGGTGTTGTTTAAGTGTTCTTTGAGCTGCATCTGAAACACTTTACTCCAAGTCACCACATGCATTGATATATTAAAACACAAATTGTAAACCAATAGTTCCACTTCTAAAAAATATCATTTTAATATGAATAGTCCGTTCTATATACTTAAGTTGCTACCACAAACTGCCTACGGTTGGGTTAAAAAAAAGGGTTTTATTTGATAGAAGAACTGTTTATTCTGATAGCTATTAATAAATACAATTTACCATAAGTAAGGAATTTTCTTGGCAATCCACCTTGATAAAATCCCTTTGACACATGGCTTTTTATGACATATTGCTGCAGCACTGGAACTTTGTTAACATAAGTTTATGAAAAATGTTTTTTGCTAGACATTTGACTAAAGTGTATCTATTTCAAAATAAATTTGCTCTGCTTTCACCCATGCCACATCACAGAAATTATCCATCACAACCGATTCCTCAAGTTAAGATAAAACCATGTTAATGTTGTCTCAAGGGATCATCCCACTTGCATCCCCCGAATGCACTTCTGGGTTATATTTAAAAGGTTAAGTAGTACATTACTGACCACAGATTCTCCATGGGATTAAAATGATTATTATAGATTAATTTTTGCCTTGTGGTTGATGAGAAAGTGATGTGACATCGTTCACGTTTTCATGGTCATTTCTTCATTCATTCTTCTTCTTATTCATTCTCTCTTTTTTCATTTAACTCTGCTCTGGCTTTGTCATATAATTTGGGATATGTTATGCTTTTGGCCGTTACTCCTTCCTCCTTGTGTCCGACCATAACTGTCAAGAAGAAACCACTGATGGACTGATGTGTGTGTGTGTGTGTGTGTGTTCAATGCATCGCCAACGTGTTTCCTGTTAGCCATAGATGTGTAATAGCTGTTGTTGTTGTTGTTGTTGTTATTGTGTAGTTCCTGCGGTTCATTAGGCAGATTGGCGATGGCAGTGTGACTGTGGAGGACAGAGCAGGAAAAGAGCACACTGATAAAGCACAGGCCAAGGAGGCACAGCACTGGGCCTCAAGCCTTAACCAGGTACGAGCCCTTCCCAGCTCCTCTGATAGAGGAAGCACTGTGAAGGGTGACACTGCAGCCCTTTGGCAGCCATCTTGGCTCTTCTCAAGCTGTAACTACATGGCATACTGTAAATCCTTGCCGATTTGCACTGCAGGGATTTAAATACTAACCCATGTGAAAATACAGTTTTGGATAGTTTAATTTGCTTTAGAGACTGAATTATCTACACACAGTGGAGACTAAGACCACATTTACATTTATACTACTGTTCAAAAGTTTGGGGTCAGTAAGATTTTTTTTTGTTTAAAGAAATTTATAGTTTTATTCAGCAATGATGCATTAAATTGATCAAAAGTGACTGTAAAGACATTTATAATGTCAAAAGACTAAAGATTTATATGTCAAATAAATGTTGTTCTTTTGAACTTTATATTCATCAAAGAGTCTTTAAAAAAGTATAATGGTTGTCACCCAAAATTTAAAATATAAGCATATAAGACTTCTTTAAAAATATTTAAAAAATCTTACTGACCCCAAACTTTTGAACTGTAGTGTAATCTATTTTCAAAATCATCTATCTAATTATTTTTATTATTTAATTATAAACAGATTAGTTCATTATAAACATATTAGTTAAAATACTTCGATTTAATAAAGTTTATAACAAAACATTATGATGTAAATTGAATAAGAAATATTAAAGATTATCCACTATTTCTAGGTCATCAGTCAAATTTGTGGACTTAATGCAGCTTGAGTTTTCACTCAAATTGTTATGCAGATAATATAAATATGGATTAAATTAGAAACAGTATTTTCACTTGTGGTCACAGATGTTTGGACCCCACTGTAGATCTAGCCAAGTCCACGTTTTTTTTTTCAAAGGAAAAATTGTCGAGGACTTGGTTTAGGTCTTGGAAACTGGCTCCTGTTTCTAAAAAAGAACTTGGTTTTATCCCATGGTTCAAACAAGCAGTAGTTCAATATTTCCTTCTTCCTTCTGTCATGGACAATCATCATGACATGATCCCTACATTTTAACATTTTAACCATCCATACCTAAATTTTCCCACTATCCCTAACAATCCCACACCAAACGCACAATATCCATAAATACCCCCTACCTGTACCCTCTGTCCCTAACTGGCTGCCCAGTTCCTGGAATCAAGGGAAGGGACTGTGGAAGTGGAAACCCGAGAGGGCAAAGAGAAGATTGACAAAGTTAAAGCTAAACAGGCAGAGCAGTGGGCTACTATCGTCAGGCAGGTAGGACCCTGATCACCTGGCAACAGTGATGCAGTAGTCCTGCTATGTGTTTTGCCTGTGTAGGCTTGTCATGTTCATTATGTTAACTAGCTCCTGCTGTCTTAAAGAGAGCAGACTGTTGCTTTAGTTTAATAGTGCTTTTAACATGGTTATCGCTAAAAGACCTGTACAGCTAAAACCCTGCTCACACTGCTTTTCACTTGTGCCCAGCTACTGAAACCACTTTGACTTCCTGCAATAGTGAAGGTACACTGAGCATTGCTTGCTATTTTTAATATAGAGAGGAAAGGAAAGATGGATGAATGAGGGTGAGTTTTTTTCTTCTTCTGGTCTCTCATGCCCTCTTTCTTTTTCCATTACATCCTTTCTTTTTTCCCCCACTCTCATTCATCACAGTATGTTGTCTTTTTTCCCTTCACCTGGGTATTATTTAAAGGTGTAAGCGATTTTTGAAAAACGATGTTGAAAGTGGATCGACTGAGCACCACAACAAACTTGTAGCCAATCAGCAGTAGGGGGCATGTCCACTCATTATGGGAGAGGAGAGAGAGTGAGCAAGAGGGAGCATTATCTTGCTTCGCTTCTGCTATAATAAAAGAAACACTCTTGCATTTTGGGGATGGTTGTGTTTGTTTGGGTTGGTTTCAAATATCAACAATGTGTTCAACAACGATTTTGAGAAATCACTTATTGCACCTTTAAGCATTTGCAGGCTCTGTGATGTGTTAATATGGAGGCTGTTAACAGCCTGGCATGTCGCTGTGCTCGGTAGGTTTCGGCAGATTCTGCAGAATCATGGGTAGATGAATTCGCCACTTATGGGCCAGACTTCCAGCAGGCCAAAGCAGCGGTGGAGGTGAGCCAGGCTGCACACTTGCACACATATACATGAACTTGAGTGCGATACCCTTGAATTCATTGGTGCTTGTGTGTGTGTGTGTGTGTGTGTGTGTGTGTGTGAGTTCAGAGTGATGTTGATTTCTGGGAGAAACTCCAGCAGGAGTGGGAGGAAATGGCGAAGAGGGATGCTGAAGCTCACCCTTGGCTCTCAGACTTCGACCAGATGCTCAGCAGCTCTTACGACAAGGTATCTGGATATACACCTGTGCCCATTTACAGCATGGATACTTCCACCTAACTGAAACCTTGAGCCCTTTCCCAGGCTGTTATCTGTGCTTTATTACAGTTTATACAATGGTTAGTTCTAGTTTTGATTCTGCTTTGGTTTCACATGGAAATATGTTCATTGACGTAGTAAAAATAGACAAAATAACTGGCAATATGGTGTCTAGAATGTATGTTACTTAATATTAACCTCTTGTTGAACTGTTGTATAAGAGCAATATCATACTCTCAATCATGCTGTTACCTGTGGCCGAATCTTTTGTTCTGATATTCGGAAGGACAGCATCTTAAAGGTTGCATACTACATATTCACTCTTTTTAATACTCAGTTTAAATTTTCTGCACAAAAATCATTTGACAGCTTTCTTTTCTTTTAAGTAGATTTTTTTTATTGTTCAGATTCCAAATACACTACCGTTCAAAGGTTTGGGGATGGTAAGATTTAAAAAAAAAAAAAGTAACCCTTGTGCATCAACTAAAAAAAGTTACACATAGGTCCATAGTGGACAAAAATGTCCGTGTCAAAAAACTTGAAACTTGGGAGCACAGACTTAAGTTTGGTCTCATTTTAAAGAAGACCCGTAAAAAAAACTTTATATAGGTTTATCCGTACGTTCACACCGCCGCCGGCGAGAGCGGCAAAATTCGCTCTCGCCGCCCTGCCAGCGACGCCGTGGAAAGATTCGTGGACGCTCTGATGCTCTGACGTAGATCGAATGCGTGATCTTTTTTAAAACTGTATTTACAGGGGCCGCAAAGCAAACAAGCATGACGATCATTATTTTTGCAGAAAATTGATCGATGGAAAGAACTTAACAATTATAGTGACATGTTTGCTAATGAAATAAACAAATTAAAAGCCATTTGTGTGGTGTGGCTTTTGTGTTCATGGTTAAGTGGTATTATAATTTGCATTCCCGCTGAAAATCTTGCCTATAAATAGTGTTGCGCGCCTTCTTATCAAATTCAAATGATCAACCTCCTCTATTTTGCTTGGGAACTAATGTGGTCGGAACCAAAGTTTACAGGACTGCGTTCTCTGGAATCCTCTCAAACGGAGCACTTCTACATTCCGATTGGTTGCCACCGGTTGCCGCCGAACCGCGTCATTGCTTATTACCATAAAGTTGACCTGACTTCAACTCTCCTCGCCGCTCTCACCGTCCAAGACGCGCCGCGCCGCCCTCGCCGGAGCGCACAGTAAGTTTAAAAAAATGATTTATTATTTTATATAAAATTTATATTTTATGAAACATGTTGAACTCTAAAACGGCTAGAAAATCAAAGCCATAAATCTAAACAAGTTGTGTTCCAAATTTGAGGTTGATATCTCAAAAAATGAGCTTTCGGTAAGATTTTGTTTGGGCGAGTTTCTCTCTCAAACACACACGCACATACGCACATATTTTTTTTATTACACACATACAAACCACACTCTGACATCCATACCAACACACCCAAACAATTATAGTTGCATAATTTATCCAATTGGCTCTATAATATGCTGAAGCAGAAAACAGGAATAAAGCGAGTATTTGCTTTGTAGGCCAAACTTGAGAAAATGGCAACATCTGGTTAAAATTTTTCAATTTAAATAGTGAAGCCTTACCAACAGAATGAAAGCCTCTTAACAAAGATTGCATCATTTTATAGTTAAACGGCCCTGGGATTAAAAATTGCAGTTTTAATGGGTTTCAATGGGAACATCTTTGTCCTAAAGTCACTGAGAGGAAGTATTTTGTGTACGGTACCTAGTGCAAAATAGATTTTTTTTTAAAGGAAATGGGGGTGAAATAGTAAAATTCCAATAAAAATACACACCTGTGCCCAATTGTATGCAGTTAGCATTAACTCAGGTGATCAAAAAACAAAACTGAAAAAGACAAAAATGTCCATAAGGATGCACAAGGGAAGTCTCTTGTGCTCACCAAGGCTTCATTTATTTGATTAAAAATATAGTACAAAATTGTAATACTGTGAAAAATTATATCAATTTATACTTTTATATATATTTTTAATTTATTATTAAACTGAATTTAATTTAACAGCAACCATTATTCCAGTCTTCAGTGTAATCATTCAGAAATCATTTTATTCCACATTTTCATATTAAGATTATAAAGGCCTTTACGTCACTTCTTATCAGCATAATACAACTCTTGCTGAGTATTAATTTCTCACACACACTAAAAAAAATCTTACTGAACCCAAACTTTTGAACAGGGGTGTATTTTATTTAGGTATCTAAACTTTTTCAGAGAATGGCAAAACATTTTTTTTATTTTTTTATTTCATGTTGTTGGTCCCATTAAAATTAGTGTGAATATGCCTTTACTCTTCTCTTAGGGATATCAATTTGAAGAAGACAACCCCTACCTGTCCCACGATGATCCGTTTGCCGAGGGTGTGAAGAGGATGGAGGCGGGGGACATTCCTGGAGCCGTACGTCTCTTCGAGAGCGCGGTTCAGAAAGAGCCAGACAACCAGCTGGTCAGAGCCTCATACGTATAAACCCGACATCCAAAAACCGATGATACATTTTGTCTCAAGGGACTCTAACTCTGTTCTACTTTCTTGCTTGTCTTTGTGAAACGCTGACTGTGTGTGACGATACTGCAGGCTTGGCAATATCTGGGCACCTGCCAGGCTGAGAACGAGCAAGAGTTTGCTGCTATCAGCGCCCTCCGCAGGTGAGAAGTATAACTGCAGTCTTACTGTGCACATCAATTAAATTCTCCTGACTAGTCTATGACAAATATGATTTATTAAAATACTGCTCCTGCCTTTTAAATTCAAGTCTCAATTGTTGTTTTCAGATGTATTGAGCTGAAAAAGGACAATCTGACGGCTCTCATGGCTCTAGCTGTGAGCTTCACCAATGAGTCACTGCACAGACAGGCCTGCGAGACGCTCCGTGATTGGTTGAGGCACAACCCCAAATACAGGCCTATCCTGGAGCAGCATGAACGAGAGAAGGAGAGGGAGGGTGTGAGAGAGAAGGAGAAAGAGAGGGAGAGATTTGGATCTCTTTTGCCAGAGTAAGAGGATTCTTGAATGCAGTAAAAAAAACATTCTGGGTTCAAGGTCTAAAAAACTGATCCTGTTTATTTCCATTGTAACTGAGTGCTAACAAGATGCAAGCTATTAATGGCATCTCTTCTTGTTAATCAGCTGCGATGAGCAACATTAGATTTTGTTGATTGCACCGGGTACAGGTTTCGCTCCTCATGTACACTGCCGTTCAAAAGTTTGGGTTCAATAAGATATTTCTGAAAGAAATGAATACATTTATTCAGTACTTTTATTTCAAATAAATCCTGTTCTTTTTAACTTTTGATTCATCAAATAATGCTACAAAAAGTCACAGTTTTCTTTAAAATATTAAGCAGCACAAGCATAACTGTTTTCAACATTGATAATAATAATAATAAGAAATGTTTCTTGAGCACCAAATCAGCATATTAGAAAATTCAGCTTTACCAAATGGTTATGGCACATCACTGTAACCATGTTATCTGCTTTAAAAAAAACTGATGAAATTATTTTACCACAACTATGCTAAAAATCTTAACTTTTAATTAGACACAGAATTCCGTTAAATCTTATTCATGATTGTACAGCACTGTGGATTGATCAGATGTGGAAGAAGCCTGTTTTCATGCCGACACTGGCATGAGATATTCATAAGACACTGGACAGGGCATTGTAACCAAGCAACAGATTTACATTTGTCACCAATCATAAGCGAGCAGTGCTCTAAAAATACATCTAACACAAACACAGGTAGGTGAGTTCCATCTAAGTTCCATCCAAGTGTTTTAATCTTTGACAGTGCAGATATTTAAATTCTTTTTGTATGACTCAAGAATGATTATGCACTGTCTTTTCTTCATTAAAGAATATTTTCTTTAAGTAAAATCTACTCACCATTTTGTTCCAAACCTGCCTGACTGGCTATCTTCTGTGGAGCACAAAAGGAGGGTTTTAGAATAATATTCTGGCCTAATGAAAGTGAATGAACACTTGGTTTCTTAAGCCATAGAATGACAAAAATCACCATGAAAGTGTCATATAATTGACTGTATTCCAAGTCTTTTGAAGCTATATGATTGTTTTTTGGTCATGCGGGCGAGTAAATAGTGAAAGTATTTAAGTTTTTTGGGTGGACTATCCCTTTGAGCTACACACTAATCCAGTTCTTTCCTTCTTTCTTCTTCCTCTTAGGGCACTGTTCAGTGAAGTGCAGACGTTGTTTTTGAGTGCAGCGGCCGCTGACCCCGCACGGGTTGACCCTGAGCTGCAGTGTGGTCTGGGCGTTCTCTTCAACCTCAGTGGAGAGTATGACAAGGCTGTGGACTGCTTCAGTGCCGCCCTGTCTGTGATGCCACAGGTTGGTTCATTCACACTTAAAAGTGGGGTAAGCGTTATTTGAAAAACGCTGTTTGGAAGTTTGTCGGACCGACACACGAACAACAACAGCAAACGTTTATAGCCAATCAGCATTAGGGGGCGTATGACGGTGGAGGAGAGAGAACGAGCAAGAGGGAGAAAGAAAGACTGCAGAAATAGAGATGAAACACAATACAAAGGAGAAAAGCTCACACGAAATCACTGGAAAATGAAGGGTTACTTATGACTGGGCAAGAGCTTTAGGACCCGCGTTAATATTAGAAAAGCTTTCCAGCGCTGGAGAGAGCTAAGCGGGAAGGCCTGAAAACAGACGCAGAGGTTGCTTTGATTCGCTCCACACATGAGTAACACTGGGTTTGAGTGTCATTGCTTGTCTGGAGCTGTTGGCTACTAACAATCAACTCTTGTTTTTAATTACTATTGTGTACTGCACATTAATTGTTTTGTGCTTTCTTGTCATTTGTTCATCATCTGCACTTTATTTTTCGTGAAGCATTATTTTGTTGCGCTTCTGCTATGATAAACAGACATCCACTCTTGGATTGTGTGTGTAACGGAGGCCAGCTAGAAAGAGTCTCGCTGACAACCGCTAGAGAATGCGGTGTTTAGCGTCATTGTTAGTGCACTCGCATGCAGGAGGATCGGGGTTCGAGACCGACTCGAAGCAGGGCGGTTAGGATTGGAGGCTGAGTTTTGGAGGCGGAGCATTTAAGAGAGGGGTGTGGTTGTTTGGGTTGATTTCAAATATCAACAATGTCCAACTGTGTTTTTTGAAACATAGCTTACCCCACCTTTAAAGCAGTGACAGACCAAGAATGATAACTTAAACGATAAATGTAACTATAATATTTTATTAATTGTTCTAATTCTATGAGAATAGGAAAGTCCACACCACAGCTAAATATTATATAGTTATCAGCATTCTCCCATGGCTAACCTGGAAGACCCTCAACAGACTACGAGCGGAACAGGGGAGGTGCAAAGCACTTATGAAAGCATGGAACCACCAGACAGATGACGCATGTAGCTGCGGAGCAGTACAGACAATGTCCCACCTACGAGTGTGAAAACGCCCCCCAGTGCAGCCCCCAGGACCTGGCTGAGCCGACCCCATCACCTGTGACCTGCGCCAGATACTGAAATTGCAACGGACTCGACGACGACGAGCTAGTTATCATAACGACATAGAGAAATTATATCATTGGAATCATTTTCAGAATTTTTTTTCCAGCTGATGAATGATAAAAACATTGTCAACCAATCAGAATCCACCCAACTTTAAAGAGCTTGAGCTTTTAATGTCGGCATGAAATCAAACATATTTTCTTCCCTATTGTGATGGTGTAGGACGGGACTTGATCTAGTTCATGGGGAATTAATTGGATTGTTGGATCGTTGTAGTTTGCTATTGCTGTGATGTCATGTGAGTGACAGGTTGTCCAGCCCTCACGCTAGTGAGAAGAGAAGAGAAGACGTTGTATTATTCCATAAAAAATTACATTTGGATTTCATGGTGACTAAAGCAGCCAGCAACAAAACTGCAGCATGTGCTTTATAACAAACAAACAATGTTAATTTGGATGCAAATATAGTTAATCATTATAGTTACCTTTATAGTTATTGTTGTTGGTGTGAACGGGTACATTGTTATATTCTACACATTTTTACACATTGTTCATTAGTATTTTAGTTCACATTCTTCCTTCTCTCAACCCTATGTGAAGGATTATCTGCTGTGGAACAAGCTGGGAGCAACTCTGGCAAATGGTAATCGCTCCGAGGAAGCGGTCGCAGCTTACAGACGCGCACTGGAGTTACAACCTGGATTTGTACGCAGCCGATACAACCTGGGCATCAGCTGTGTCAACCTGGGTGCACACAGGTTAGTAAAAGAAGAAGGTTTCATTGGGGTAAACTAGCAAACAAAAAGCTAAATGCCATTTGTCGTTTCTCCATCAGGGAAGCAGTAGAGCACTTCCTGGAGGCCCTTTCTCTTCAGCGACAGGCCGCCGGGGATGGAGAGGGAGGCGCGGGGCGAGGGCCAGGTGCAGCAGTGACTGTGATGTCAGATAACATCTGGTCCACCTTACGCATGGCACTGAGCATGATGGGAGAAAGCTCGCTTTACTCAGCCGCCGACCGGCGAGATCTGGACACGCTGCTGGTGCACTTCTCCCCAAGAGAAGGAGAGACAGAATGAAGGATGGAGGAGTTGAAGGAGCGCATGAAGATAGAATGTGAGTGTGGAGAAGCCTGTTTTGGAGAGAAACATCAAGACCCGTGATGTACATTTCAACAAAGCGGGACATGACGTTGCTACAATGTGAGGAGAATAAAAAGAGTGAAACGCCCATTTAGCTCTAACACTGCATTAATGGACAGACAGATGCCTGAGAAAAAGAGACATGTTGAAAAGCCCATGATACAGTTTAAAAACACAACATTATTCCTATGGGTTGTCACAAGTTTACGCTTACAGAGAATCTGTTGTAATTTTTCCATTTTGTTAATCTTGACGATTACTGTTCTTTCCATTGTCCTTATCAAAATGACAGTAATATTTCTCTTATGGGGAAAATAAGGTCCCAGCACTGTGAGCTCAAGAGTACTTGCCTCTGTTTGACAGAGAAGAGGGATGTGTTGTGTTCTACGTCACTACGGCTCCTGTACAAAGTAACAGTGATTTGCAAGCCTTAAAGTTATATTGGCAACTTAATTCGTACGCGAGACTGAAAGACATGTCTCTAACACTCTTTCTTATCGGATATTTGCTCTTGCTGTAAAATTATTTGCTTAATTGTAAATTCCACTTGCCATATTGTGTATTGTACCATAATTATTAATGTTTTGCATATAGCCAATTCAAATTGCTATTACTTCAAGCAATAAAGCTTTGACAAAGATGCTTAGTAACTTGAGGAAAAATATTCATATTTCCAAGCACAAGTAAATTATATCATTTTATGAGTATATAATACATTTTATAATTACATGATTTTACAGATTTATCGATTTTCTTTGTGGCATTTTATTCAGAGTTTGCTATTGGCAACAATCAAAATACTAAAACATACTTATTTTAATAGTAATTCAATTCGCTAAAGTAGTTTTTGTAACAACAGAAGTGTGTGCAGGTTTTTATCTTTTTCTTTTTTTCTGTTTAATTGACTGTTTAACTACACAAGTATAAAGAAGGCGTCAGCATTCAACCAGTCAACACGCGGCTGTATTTCAAATCGCCGAAACACGCCCAATAACATGTATTCACCGTCTCGGCCAATCAGAAGCGCCGAGGCAGGGACTCTCGCGTTCTACTATTGGTCGGTTTAAAAATCGCTGCAAACACAGAACGATCCATTTAAATGCTCTCGCTCGAGTCACAGGTAGTTTGGATTAGAAGACTGAGGCATTTCTTTGTTAATCTGCTTTATTACATGTGCATTGAACAGAAACATTCAATCTGATCTGGTGTAAAAGATAAAGGGAATATATAGTGAACTGAGCGTGGAAAACTTTGAGCTTTAAGGTGAGTTTGATTATTGAACAATAACTTTTTGTTGGTACACGATGTGCTTGTTTATTTAATGTATTTTTTAAAAAGCATCACCTTATGGGTTTAACTACTCATTACCTTATGGGTTTAACTACTTTCTTCGCTTCTTACCATACAAGTTTTTATAAACCGTGCTGTTTTCTGAGTAGAATACAGAGTAAACATGGGATCCAGTGAAAGCAAGATGTCTGTGGCATCAACACCTCGGGTAGATCCGAGCCAGCGGCCGAAAGCAGCGCGTGTAGCGAGACTCGCAGACCCGCGTTCACCGTCCTGTGCTATCGACCGCACACCTGTACAGGTACAAACATACAGTTTAACAACGCTTACTTTTATTACAGTTTCACCAGTTAAAGTGCTAAATAATTTAGTTGCTTATCGATAAGCCGGACTGTGAGGTGAATTTTGGCATTTCTCAGGTTCCTAATGAGCTCAGCAGTGAGCAATGGACAAATAAAATAGTTGATTTTTTTTTCATGTATTTTCCTGTAGGTGGGTGTGGCTTACTCTCCTCTGCCTGTGGTGGAGTCAGTTGGGCCTGGATTTGTTGACCCCCGATCACCCACGGCTGGCATTACGCGAACACCAATAAAGGGTAACGTTAAGTCAAGTGTTCTCCATTACGAGATCTGTGTTTGTTTCTGCATTTTTCATTCACAATATTTAAACCCAATGAAAGAAGCTCAAGCTGAGAGCAATTTTCATTAGCAAAGCCCTTTAGAGTGTTCAGTAACTTCCAGCCCACTTCTGGAAGTGTTTTTCTTCCCCTTTCCATAAAGAGTTAACGTCACAGGCCATAAACCAAACCAACCATCTGTGAGTTGAATCACATTTCTCACCAGAATTCATGCAAAAAATAATTTTAAATAATGCAGTATGATGATTTCAACAAATGCATATACTGTTGATTATCAACCTCATAGCTCAGGGTAGATCTGTCTTTAAGGGTTTGTAATTTATTTACTCGATGTCCTCAGCCCTTAAAGGTTTAGTTTACCCAAAAATAAAAATTATGTCATTAATGACTCGCCCTCATGTCGTTCCAAGCCCATAAGACCTCCGTACATCTTCGGAACACAGTTTAAGATATTTTAGATTTAGTCCGAGAGCTTTCTGTCCCTCCATTGAAAATGTGTGTACAGTATACCGTCCTTGTCCAGAAAGGAAATGGAGACATCATCAAAGTAGTCCATGTGACATCAGTGAGTTAGTTAGAATTTTTTGAAGCATCAAATAAATTTTGGTCCAAAAATAACAAAAACTATTATTATTACTTTATTCAGCATTGTATTCTCTTCCGGTTCTGTTGTCAATCCGCGATCACGAGTCCGCAGTGACGCTGATGACGTAAGACGCTGCTGACGTGTATCTGGTGTGTCCGTGTATTCGGGTTCAAATAAATATGGCTGGGCAAAAAATATGGCTGGTCTTCCTCCGTGTCGAAATCCTTAGACATGTTTGTGAAGATTGTTTTGTTTACAGCGTGCGTCTCCCTCAGACTGTAAACGAAGCTCGGGCGCACCGTTTTACACGTCAGCAGCGTCTTACGTCACCAGCGTCACTGAACGCGGATTGACAAAAGAACCGGAAGAGAATACAATGATGAATAAAGTCGTAGTTTTTGTTATTTTTGGACAATTTATTTGATGCTTCAAAAAATTCTACCTAACCCACTGATGTCACAGGGACTACTTTGATGTCTAATTTTAATTTTTGGGTGAACTAACCCTTTAAAGTTGCGATTGGTTGATGTAGCGACAAATTTTTTCTTTGTGACATACCTCCGAGTGACCAGGTGATCGAAAAAGAAAAGAAAATGCAGGGTGAGGATTTAGATATGTCCATCAGTTGTTGATGGATGGATGCAGATGATATGAATGTGAGCTTTTAGTTGATTGTTAGAAAGGGGTGTTGGAGTTTTGATAAAAAATTGCGATGCCAATTTTTACAATAGCAATTTAAAAATGAAACCTATGCATGGATTAATAGTTCACAATAAGATCAATAACAAGCATTTAGAAAATAGAAAGGGTGACTCTTTAATCTCAAACTCCTTTGTCTCCTTTACAGTGAGCGTCACATCTCTCGCTCGGCGGCTGAGCACCTTCTTTCTCAATGATGTCAAGTCCGGTGGCGAGACTATTTCTCCTCTTCCTCCGGTCTCCTTTACCAAACACCCCAGGCTGCCCAATGGGGCTCGGCAAAATGATTCCGGCCCCAGAGAGCCCCTTCTCCCTCTGGTAAAAGCTCAGAACTCCGCCTCACTCAGGGAACGCACCGATGCCGTGTTCACCCCTGCGGTGTCCTCTCCTTCACTGGGCTACGGCTCCATATGCAGCAGCCCGTTTGTGTTGGTTGGAGACACGCTGATGGAGGTAGAGGTGGATCCTGAGGCCTCGCTGGAAGAGGCGGAGGAGGCTCTGCTGCTTGGTGCTTCACCATTAAAGAAAGAGCTCAGTTTGAGTCTTCTTGCGTGTCATGAAGGTGTTTACTCATCTTCTCAGGAGGAACGTCCTCTTACTCCTCTTCCTCCTGTTGAGAATGAAGATCATTCCTACACGCTCTTCTCAGTCGCCCCAGCATCCACAGAGCCTGAGCCTGTTGCTGAAGCTGTCGTGACCCCGGAGGAAGCGGAGGTCCCATCCCAGATGTCTGACGAACAGGTTTGTTTTTGAGATTGAGACACCTTTCAAAGGTTTGAGAATATATTGTTTGACATTTATAATGTTGCAAAAGAGATCCATTTCAAATAAATGCTGTTCTTTTGAAAACATGTAAAATGGTTTCCACAAAAATATTAGACGACACAACGGTTTAAAATTGATAAAAATGTTTCTCAAGCAGCAAATCAGCACATTAGAATGATTTCTGAAAGATCATGTGACTCTGAAGACTGGAGTAATAATACTGAAAATTCAGCTTTGCCTTCACAGGAATAAATTCTATTTTAAAATGTATATCAAAGTAGAAATGTTATATTAAATTATTATATTTTCACAATAAGTACTGTTTTTTTTTTACTGTGTTTTTCAACAAATAAATGCAGCCTTGACTTAAAAAGAAATAAATCTTATTGATTATCCAATTTATTATATTTTATATATATATATATTTTAGTTTTTGTTGCCTTTTTTAAAATATCCTGCATAATTATATTAAAGTTTATTCTTAATAAATAAATAATTCTAACTTATTGCAAATTGATCAAATCATTTGATACATATATTTTTTTAACTATGTTACGAAATAGGGAAAAATACATTTGTTAAAGTTTTACTTACCGGTAAATAACTTTAAATGGATATTTTTGTTTGTGTTGTGAGCAATGAAAACTTCAGGGCAGGTGGGAATCTGAACTATTTTATAGGCCTGTTTTGGCATCAGAAACAATCCATACTGTTCCCTGTGAGAGACTAAATGATGTGTATCTCTCCTCCATCAGGTCACACCTGCACTTCCTGAGTCACGCCATGAGCAGCCAGAGGTGAGCAAACCTCTCTCGCCTCAACCGGCTGTTGCCTCCAGCAAATCCAGCCCAGTGACCAGCGTCCAGGTCGAAACGGTGCAGTCTGGCATCCGTTGTCTGAAGTTTGACACCCGCAGCCCCAGTCAAGCCATTTTTAAGCCCCAGTGGTTGGGGGTAGGATTCGGGACCGCTGGTGTCAGAGCAAGAGGGGTACAGGGACGTGGAAAAACGTTTGTCTCTTCACCGCTCTCCACCAAAAACACAGCCACAAACGAGAATAACAACATGGTTGTGCGCGCCAAACAAAGACCAAGAGGTGAGAGTGTCTCTTGGCCACATGGTTATGCGTCATTAATCGTTCTGCTAGTTTCTGATGCTACTTCCTCCATCCACTTTATTTTTCATCACAAATTTTCTTTGAGTGTGCAGGACTTCCAGTTCATTAGCCGCTATTGGTAAATAACTGGAAGAATGGCCGTGCAGTAAATGTGCAGCAAAACAGTATGTTTATGATTGATGAAGTAATATTAAAACAAATACCAGTTTGCAATATTAAGCAGCATAACAAACTGATTTTTTTACCGCGTAAATAACTGAAAGCAATGACAATGGAAGCCTTGCCTATTCAAAAAAGTAAGGTGGATAGAAGACTAACACAAGGATACATGTATATTTAAGGGTTTTTTAAATTCACTTTTTCTCTGGTTAGAAACTAGAAAATTGAGGTATTTGCTTGTTTAATATTACAGAAAAAGTTCTGATTGGTGAGGGCAGATCGCCTCTGCAGATCCTGAGGGAAGCTAATTCACCCAGAGACCGCAACTCTCAGGTAATTACACCGTTCTTAGTCACTACTTGAACCTCAGTGCTCCTTTTACTGCAGATGTCCATGTTATGCATGTAATCACTCGTGGATCTTCATGTTTCTTGTCAGATGAAGCTGAAAGTGTCCACCCCAGAAAAACAGAGATTCACCCAGATGGACAGGAGAGCTCTGACTCTATCACTCAACAAGGAGAACGAGTGAGAAACTGGGCTCACCAGGATGAATCCAGCCAACACTATGTATATACTACAATTTTAAGCCTTAAACTACATGATCATTCTATTTTTCCTTTTCTTTGTTGTTTCTTTGTGTGTTTGTAAATAAACTGTTTTTAATGTAAATAAAATTTACACTTAATTTTGTTTCTTCTTTTTTGAGCTTGTCTGAGGACATTGGATGAAACTATTATTCACAAAAACACATGCTTGAACAGATTTAAATCTTTGTCATTGCTAAAGACTGTTCACAAACCAAGTGAGGTCTGGGAACTCATCATTGACAGGGCTCAATCTGATGGGCGGGATAAACGGTTGTCTTTCAAATTCTCTCAGCACGCAATTGGATAGCTCTACAACCAATCAGAGCAACGAAGAAGGGGACGTAGTCAGCGGAGCAAGTTGATATATTAAACTTTTACCGTATCCAGTCCATAGCTGTCAACATTGAACATTGAAAATAAGGGAGATCTCCAGGAATCCATCCCCAAAATAAGGGATTTTTTTTGTTTTTTACACGACCCACAAACTTTAAAAATAAAACACTAATCATTAAAAGTCTAAAGAGTTTATAACTAGCCTATGTGTGAGAGAGAAAGAGACAGTGTGTGTGTGTGTGTGTGTGTGTGTGTGTGTGTGTGTGTGAGAGAGAAAGAGTCATTAAAACATTTTTTGTCATTAAAATAATAATATCATAGAGAATGTTTAAATACTAATATCAGCTTACGAGGGAAACGGAGGCGGAGTAGTGGTGCTTCGGAGTGCTGGAGATGATTCGGAGGTCCTTTACCGATCAGAGCGCGCGCTGACACGGAGTAAATAAAGCCTTTATACTCGACGCGTCCGCACGAGTGCGGCAAAAATGACAAGTTGATCGTTTCGCCACAGCTTTTTTGTAACAGCGCCGCATCCGAGGATGAATGACTTCAAACCGAATATGTCCGAGCTTGCTCTGACCGTCGCAACTCTGCCGTCATTGTGTTAAGCCCGCCCACCAACTCTATACACGATGTGATTGGCCTGACCAGTTTTTGGTTTTTCCAGCTAAAACGTCTATGGAGAGTTGCTAGACCAGCTCTTCTGCACAATTTTGTCATGTCTGTTAGTCATCAGATATTTGTCCAGGATCAGTGTTCTGCCTACCGTTCAATAGTTTGGGGTCGGTAAGAATTTTTTTTTTGAAAGTCTCTTTTGCTCACCAAGGCCTATTTATTTGATTAAATACAGTAAAACAATAATACTGTGAAATATTCAAATTTAAAGACTATATACTTTAAAATAGTAATTTATTGCTGTGATGGCAAAGCTGAATTTTCAGCATCATTACTTCAGTCTTCAGTGTCACATGATCCTTCAGAAATTATTCTAATGTTCAAGAAAATGCTGCTTAATATTCTTGTGGAAACTGATGCATTTTTATAGGATTCTTTGAATCGAAAGTTCAAAAGAACTGCACTGTTTGAAATGGAAATCTTTTACACTTTTTGTTCATTTTGATCAATTAAAAAGATTAAATTTCCTCATATTATAGTATATTATATACACAATTTTAGTTTTCAATTCCATCAGATATGAAAGCTTGTTTCTGCCACAGAATAAAACATTTTAAAAGATAATAGGGACTTTTTTTTGCATCTCAATTTTTACTGTTTTCCTCAGAATCTAAGCTAAAGTCTATCTTAATTCTGACTTACACAAAATTGCGACTTTATATCACGCAATTCTGAGATAAAAAGTCCGAAATGCAAGATGTAAACTCGCAATTACCTTTTTTAATTACCGGAAATAAGCTTCCATCGATATGAGATACAATTGTATAGGGGGAAAAAGGGAAAAGAGTCAAGTTTGTCGGTAGTTTTTATTTTATTGGCCTGAATAAGCAGAAAAAGACATGACACTATCAGTGAAAATCACAATCAAAAAAATCTAACACTAAACTTGAAAGAAGTTTCAATCAGACAATCTCACTAAAACTCATTTCATCTATCTATAGTTTGTAAACCACATTTTATAAAAGTGAAAATTCTGTGTAGACTGAAATTGTATACTCGATCTTGCGGAACTATTTTGGCAACCTCTGTCATGTAGGTTTGATAGCACAGGATGCATTTAGATATCAGTAAGCTTGATTCAACTAGTGTTGAAGACTTATTTCATATGCTATATTGATAATATGCTGTAACACACCCTCGTGTTAATGACCCTATCCAAAAATTACCTAAATCACCAAATAGGTCATGGCTTGGTAAATGCCCACTTTTGCAGTTAGCAGTCCCTGAAAAACAGTTTTCTGTTATTACATGGTTTCTTTGACAAGACTATTCTACAGATCAAGCCCGTCTCTAAATGAGGTTTTCTTATTCACAATCTTTCTCGTTCTGACGGCACAACAAACACATCTCTTTCCCTCCCTACTTATACAACTATATCCCATAGTCCTGTTTCAATTGTCCCCTTTACATTTTACCCTGTCTTTGACATATTCTGATTTTGCCTCTTTTTGAGACGGCGTTTTAGTTCCAGATCTTCAGAAAGCTATCCCATGATCCTGTGCAGCAGGCCATCCCATCAGGTGTCACGCCGATACAGCTCACTCTGTTGTCATGACCAGACAACACTCCTGTAAAAGACAAACACTTTTTTAATACAGATATTTTTGCATCTGATATATATTTGAAGCGTTCTCCTGAAGTTCACATCCATCTTTGTATCTCTTTCCAGTGACTCACCCACTCTCTCCGCCTTAAGCGTGTCCCAGATGTTGCAGTTGAAGTCGTCGTACCCAGCGAGGAGGAGTCTTCCAGAGAGAGAGGGAGCGAGGGAAGTCACTCCACACATGATGCTGGAGTCCTGGAACGTGATGAGCTCCTGGTCTGAACGCAGGTCGTACAGCTTGCAGGAAGCGTCGTCTGAACCTGTGATCACTGCATTGCCGTTGGGGAAAAACTGAAAAGTGACAGAGAGAAAGATGTATATATTGCAAATCTCGCTGCCACTATGCTAGAGCGTGCTATGTGGTGGCTGTAAGGAGTTTTGAGAGGTTGTTAGTGTGTTGCTATGCAGTTGCTAGGTGATTTCTAAGTTGTTCTGGGTGGTTGCTTCCTGATCCAGGTCAAAAGATCCCATCCCGATGGCTGCATCCGAAATCGCATACTTACCTACTATATAGTAGGCTAAAAAGAAGTATGTTTGAATTCACAGTACTCATAAAAGTGTAGGCAGAAAAAGTACCCAGATGACAGTTTACTATCCCACGAGGCCACGGGAAAGGATTTGTGCGACGTAACTGACGCTGGTAGGTCACGTGATGAGGGCAGCATTGCAAATGTAGTACGTTCAGATTACATTCATACTAAACACACTCATGCTATAGATAAGTAATTACTTATTCAAAATAAGTACCTACTAATAATAAGAGTATGCGATTTTGGACGCAGCCTAAGGGGCAGTTTACACGTCACCGTTTTTCTGGTCAACTAAAATCAGAAAACTTTTTATACATTTTGGCCGTTCTTTTACTCAACAGCGGCATTTTGGGGGACTGAAAACGCAAGCTTTTGAAAACGGGTTTCAAAGGGGTTTTTGAAAACTATATTGTTATCGTCTCTGTGTAAAAAAAGAAAAAGCGAATTTGTGAAAACAGTGACGTCATGAGCATGCATTTTACATGTTCAGTCAGTTTCTAGGCGCATAGCTTTTCTTTACAAAGTGACATCGCCAACTACTGGCCTGGCAGCATAATACGGTGTTTTTAAGCGTTTTCACAGATCTGTGTGAATGGGATCATTTTGACAATGTTGCCATCTGTATGCAAAAAAATGCAAAGGAAAATATTTTTCTGTTTTTAGTACATCATTGAACCCTGAAGCAGTTAATTTAGGGTATGTTTACACGACACCATTTTCAACTGAAAATGGAAAACTTTTTATGCGTTTTGGCTGTTCATTTACACGACAACTGTGTTATAGGGGCCTGAAAACGCAAGCTTTTGAAAGCGATCCCTTAACTGTCTTCGTGTAAACGTCATGCGCATGCATATTACATGTTCAGGCATGCAAATTATGTGTTCACGGGGTGTTTCTTGACAAAGTGACATCGCCAACTACTGGCCTGGCATGCATAATACAGCCTTTTTAGCAAATCCATGTGAGCGGGGATCTTTTTGACAAAGTTGTCGTCTGTTTTTAGTATTGTCGTCTAAATATACCCTAAGATCTTCCGGAGCACTTATAATGATAATTACAGACAGGTGTGTTGGATCTCTGCATTTAGGTAGATCTCCAGGAACAGGATTGGGCATCCCTGCTCTAGAATATTTCTGGTCCCAAAAAATGTCTTGAGCTGCTTCCTCAATGTAAATCTATGGGATTTTTGCTTATTGTGTTAATGAAGCAAAAGCATCTCTCCAACAAACCGCACAGTTTAATGAATTATTATTAAGTACCAATGGTGCGAGATAATCTTCATATCAACGTTAAATACATTGGTTTAGGGCAGTCGTTCTCAACCAGGGGGCCTCAAGATGACTTACAATTGTTTAAAATAAGACAAAACAAGCATTAAATTAAGCTTAAACAACTAAACATAAAGATATTTCTTATTATAATTCACTCCCTCAAAGACTGTCTTTGTAGAACCAGCTGGACTCTCACTGTCTTTGAAAACCTGTATATACAGTATGAGGTAGTCTAATTTTAAATGTGTGATTTCTAGACCTGGAAAAGTCATGTCAATTAATAAAATAGAACTAAAACTATGAAAAATGAGTGAAATAAAGCTGAAATCAAATAAAATATAGCCATTTGAAATATTAGAAAAAAAACAAAACAAAAAACTGAAATAAAATAAGTTTCATTTGAATAATTTAAAATGAATAAATAAATGACAAAAGCCTATAACAAAATGACAAAACTTTGAACTAAAATTTAAATAAATTAAAAAATATATCAAAATAAAAGTTAATAAAAAAAAATTATAAATACTATAATATTATATATAATACTAAATGGGCATTTTTATAATGTGTATACATTTTTCTAGATATCAAACTAAAATATTGTATTGGTGGAAACGACTTATCCAGTAAATTGTATAAGTAATATAAAAAATATATAAGGCATTTTCGTATCCAGTCGACAATGGGGAGCCTTGGAGTCAAAAAGGTCCTACCCCAATGGCGTTGATGTCACTCTCATGGCCTGCAAAGGTCTGTCTGCACTGTCCGTCACGGATGTCCCACAGTTTGGCTGTGAAGTCACAAGCTCCTGAGATGAAAGTGTTGAAGTCAGGAGCAACACCCAGAGACATACAGTCTCCCAAATGTCCAGCGAAGACCGTCTTCTCTGTTCCTGTCTCAATGTCCCACATAATACTGGAGAAAGGTCAGAGGTCATGTCATTTAAGAAAGTAAGATCATGTGCTGATCTGAATACATCATTTGTAGCAAAATGTTCTTTGCTCTTTTAGTTTATAGCTCTTAGAAGTCTAAAGTGAATGTACCAGGTACAGTCTCCAGAGCTGGTGATGATCTCACTGTCACTCAGGAAGCGGCAGCAGGACAGGTAACCTGATCAACACAAAATCATATACATTAAAAAAAACAGACTTCAAGACACAGCTAGCTGATGTAAAGCATCTCATGGGCTAGATATTGCTTGTGTGGATTGCTAACTGGTTCTTAAATCGGTCTGCATGAGAAGTATTTGAAGTCATTCTCACCTGTGTGTTCTGCGAGCTCACGCATGACCTTCACGTTACCATCTTTAGCCTTCAGGTTATAGATGGAGCACATGTTGTCAAGTCCTCCACATGCCACCATGTTTCCTGAAGGTGCGTACGAACATGTCATCACCCATGAGGACTTCAGGGGGATTGCATGCACCTAGACCACAAGCAGAGACAATAGTTTGTTAATATTCTACAGATTAAGTTTTTTTTGGAAAATGGTTATATGTACATTAGGCCTCATTCATGAAGCTTCAGAGTAATTTTCAATGATACTTATTTATCAATCATTTCTTTCTTCTGCGAAACACACACACACAAATATATATATTTTGAAGAATGTTGGTAACCAAACAGTTTTGATTTCCATTGTATTTTTTGTACATATAATGGAAGTCAATGGGAACCAAAACTGTTTGGTTACCAACAGTCTTCAAAATATCTTCTTTTATGTTCCAGAGAACAAAGTCATAAAGGTTTGTAACGACGTAAAGGTGAGTAAATAATAACAGAATTCAAACTTTTGGCCGGACTACCATTTTAACTAATTAATTTTGTTATATATTATTATGGCAAATAGTGTTATTATTATCAAAATGAAGTGTCATCAGTTATCTTAAAAGAACACAAAATGGTATGTAATGTTTTTTCGTACTAACTATTTTGAAAATATGAACACTTTAATGAATCTGAAAATTTATATCAAAGGTTTTGTGAACAATTTACATAAAAATTCTACTCGTTTTTCATGAATGAGGTCTAATATTTCACAATGGCAACTTTCATTTGAGACTTTATTTTTCATAATAGCTATGATTGTCATGCACCATACTTTCTCATAAGTGTGCCTTTATCAACTGTGAGATTTAAAGTCACAATTAAAAGATACAAAGGTGAGTCAATTGTGAGAAATAAAGTTGCAATAGCACTAAATAAAATCAGAATGACCTTAGTTTATCATAAATATGTTGCATAAAGCAGCTTCCATGTTTTCAAAAAGAACTGAAAGCATCTCAGCCCTGCTTTAGTGCTTCATGTCATTTAAATGCGTCTCCTCCCTCTTGCACACAAATGTGACCACTGGCAGATTCTGATTTTCTTAATAGCCTTCACCAGAACTGATTTGCATTTAAATGTACGTGACAGCAGCTCCAAGTTAAAGCAACAGATTATGTAATTTATTACATCTGAAACAATTAGTAATGATAGGTTCAATGATTTTTAGCCTTTTTGTAGTTAAGTTCTAATATCAGACTGAGGAAAATTGAACTGAAAAACCTTCCAATACCTTATTGGTGGTGTAGCTGTCCCATACAATCAGTTTACCGTCTTGAGATGCACTGACACACAGCCTGAGAGAGAGAGGCAAAAAGAAACATCAGGTTAGAAATTAAATATTTTAGGGGACCACAACACTGTTATTTTAGTAATATTTATATATTATTTAATAATATTTTGAATTGGCTTTTATTTTAGTTTTAGTAATTTTGTTATGTGCTTTTGTCATATTTTTATTTAGCATTCATTTATTTTTTATTTCCAATGTTACCAAAGCAACATTTACGTATTTATATATACATTTATGTTTTATATTTATATTATATTGTATTTAAGCTTTAATTTAAATATCGAAAACCACAACTAGTGGAGACTGCTGAAGGATGTCGCTAATATCATCAGGGTTATAGTTTTGATTCTAAAAGGGATCTTGAAGGCTACATATTAAATACTTATGACTTCTTTTATTTATTATACTTATTCATACTTATGACCTAAACACAATGCATAAATGTAAATGTATGAAAAATAAAAGTTTTGAAAAGACTTTAGCATTAATTCAGTGTTTATCTCAAGTGAATTTACTATCACACAAAAGATCTGATCCTTTTCCAGGTATTGGTGCAGGATTCTAATTTCTAAGTCACTTAATCACGATTCAGACCAGCCTCGTTAATGTCAGAGATAAAGAGCCACATCTTTTTACATGTATCCATCTGTTCATAATAATTTATCATTAATTTCACTTATCTTTGCCTAATTAAAGCGCAAGTCTATTAAAAATGACATATCAGTATCATGTAAATATGTGTATATCGATATCCTTGTAGACTAGTACATGTGGTAGAGCCTGTGTTGCTTTTATTTGCATATATTATTGTGTTTACTTTGAATCTGTCCCCCAGTGCATGGCATAGATTTTGGCCAGATGTCCTCTCAATGTCTTCCTGGTCTTTAGCTGGACACGTCCCACAACAGCTGTCCCCGCCACATGATCCTGCAGCGTCAGGTCCTGCACTGCTTTACGGGCCGCCTATAGAGCACAAAACATACAGATATTACAGCTGATCTATAACTGAGAGTGAGTCTGTGATGTTCTGTAAAGTTACGTAAATGTTAGTGAAGTTATTTAGGGGGGGGGGGGGGGACTATAGACACTAACAGTGATGTCATCCTTCAGGCTCTCCGCCTCCTTTCGCAGTTGCTCCATTTCACCCATGGCAACGGTTGTCAGGCACGATCACCCACAGACACAGACAGGAAGTGAGGTCAGTAGATCCAAGAGAATGCTGGGGAAAACTCCTGAATGTGAATATACATTTAATTGTTACAGTAATCATGACAGTGCAATTTATTTGACTGCTTGTGGGAAGAGCTTGTTGTTGTTGCTTTCACTGTGATATATCTTCAGTTGCCTCTTCAACAGCTATTTGCAATTCAAACTCCCTTCGACCTGGTTTGCAAATCCTCACAAATAAGGATGCATGCAAAATTTCACTTGTACCACCACAAACATGCAAGGGCGTAATGAGTCAGAGTCAAGCACACTGACGTACACCTGCTCTCATTTATTCAGATATTACACACATAGATAGTTTAGTTCATAAATATATCATATATATATCTATATCTATATCTATAGTACATTCATTTTTTGGTTAAGTCCAACTGCTCCCATGAAATAAAAGGGACTTTACTGTGTAACAATGATAAGTGTGACTCTATTAGGACATTACAACTGCTTTAATTTGCCCTCAGAATCAATGAAGGAAAAAAAACAATAAAACCTTTTTTTTTCTGAAAACACTGAGATCCATGTTATATATTATTGATGAGGTTAAACTCTCTCAGTATTGTCATCTATAATAATTTTGCCCTTCATTTTGGATAGTTAACCTATAATTAGTGTGCAGTCAGTCATCTTAATGAAAATATATTTTGCGAGTCATAAAGCATACCTCTTAAGTTTGAATATAATGTCTTACCTTACAAAAGAAGATTAATACAAGCTATTTCCTTTTGTCGAATTCTTTTTTGAATCTTTGTGTATCTCCCGAGCTCTCATGACCAAATGACTTTTGCCTAAAATTTGTTTGAGAGGAGAAAGCGAGAGAACAAGGGTGTGGATGGGAGAGAGGTGGGCCGGTGGGAGGGAGCTGTCCTGTAAAGGACATCAATAAATAGTCCCTGTTCTAGAACTAGAGTTGAACTTCATACCTAGAATTTTTGTATTTGACATCAGTGTGAATTAAACAGCTAGAAAATGTGATTACCAACAAGACCGTGAGCACCAAACGCCATAACCAGAAAGAGATAATGAGAGAGAGAGAGAGAGAGAGAGAGAGAGAGAGAGAGAGAGAGAGAGATAGAGAGAGAGAGAGAGAGAGAGAGAGAGAGAGAGAGAGAGAGAGAGAGAGAGAGAGAGAGAGAGAGAGAGAGAGAGAGAGAGAGAGAGAGAGAGAGAGAGAGAGAGAGAGAGTTTAAATCCACACTGCTGAGATTTTAAGGGAGGCCTTTTGAATCAAATCTGCTCTCATCCGATTATTGACTGCTCTTTGCATCTGGATAAGAGCTACAGCAGAGATGGGGAGGGGGGTAGATGGATAGAAACAGAGAGAGAGAAAGAAAAAACTAGGAATGGGTGTGAAAGTGTGGCCTAGCCGTCATTTGAATTATTACTTTGTTGAAAGAACATTCTTCCATATTATTATTCAGTAATTTACAAACTTTTCATGGTTAAAAAGTCCTATAACTATTTATACAGAACCTAAAAATTATTAATAATGTCTAGCTGATAATTTACATTCATTATACTATGATTAACTATTAGGGCATTGGAAATTATTTCATTTGTTTAGAGCATTCTTTGTAATGTAGAGAAATTATTATTCCTTTTGTACCAATATCCGTTTTATTCAATAGCTTGCCTCTTCTTATATCTTAAAAAACATTAATGCGGACTAAAAATGGCAGACCAACAAAAAAAAGTCAATATTTTTATGGATTTAAAGCATAAAACTGATTGACACTTATGTTACGGTTTGGTTCTGACCTGAAGTGGACATTTCTGAGTGGAATTCATTATCATAATCTTAACTTTGCCATAATCATAAGGTAAAACTAAAGCAACAGAAAATGAACCCAAAATATACCATTGAATAAGTGAAAAAAAAAACCTCTCACTTACCCGTTCCTCTTGGTCGTTTCTCCGCTCTATTTGTAATTCTTATACCTTTCCAATTCTCTATCCACTTGCCTTTCCTCGGGACAGTGTTCATTCAGGTTTTCTGCTTTACGCACCTTCTGATCCCTCTCTCTCTCTCTGTAAACTCTGTGATGCCTTTGTGATGGCTAGATGAGGATTGGAGGGGATGAAGTGAGATCAGGGCTGAAAGGATAAATCCTTGGATGGAGAGAGCGAGAGGGAGGGAAATCTGTTAGGAGAGGAGAGAACAGAGAGCAAAAGACAAGAGAACTAAATAGTGGAGAGAATCAGGTCATGGGGTCACATGACAAAAAAAAACAGGTGTGTGGAGGGCCAAGGTGAAGGAACAGTAGATAATGGAACAGTAGATAAACAGAGGATAATTTTACTTGTTTTCTTTTTTTTATCTTTTTTTTAATTATTATTATTTTTATTTATTTTGTTCAGAGAATGCATATCCATTCATTTTCCCTGTTTAGAAAATAGCAATGCCAATGCTGGCTAAGTTTGCTTTGAGATGAATAGTGCTCATATAAGGATGAAAAACCCTACAATAAAAAAAGTATGGGACAGATTTTTCCAGACCTGATCCTAAAGGCCTTGGTGATACATCCCTAAACTCTGAACATAGATGTCCCAGAACATCACCACTTTTTTAGACGAGGGTCATGGCTAAAGAAGCCTATTAGTCACGAATGAGCAGGCAGAACATCCACAACATTCTCACGTGTCATCGTGATGCAAGGAAGCTGAAAACAGTAAATAATGGATTGAGAGACATTTCTATGTATGGAATGATGAACGGTTTCAGATCACTGGGAGTTGGTGTTGCGTACACCTTGGAAACTGTTTCAAAATGAGTGATATTTATACTTTGAGATGAGCGGAAGACTACAGTATAATTAGGCACAAGGTACAATACGTTTTATTCCTGTAAATGCTATTGTAACAAAACATAAAACACATTGTTTTGGGAACAGAAATGAGTGGGGATGAATTCTGTGGAGCAAAAGAGCTTAAAAGCCTGTGAACATTTAAGGCTTTGCTTAAATCAATTTTAGTGTCCTGATTTAGAACAGACAAACTATCATTATCATAAATATAACTCGTCCTCCCCCACCTCACTGAGCCAGACAAAACATCACAGCATGGTGGATAAAATCATCACCCGATTTACCAAGAGGGGGGACAAAGCGACCCATGGGTGGATTATATTCTATTAGGACAAAAGGGAATGGTTTACTTTCGCATGGATGAACATTGAGGAAAAGTTATGTGCAGCATTAGGTTCAGTGTCATGTAAAAAGCCCTTTGTTGTAATGTATAGTTATGTCGTGTGTATTCATATAGTGTGTGTGTGTTTGTGTGTGTGTGTGGGTCAGGTTTTACCTACATCATGGGGAGCAAATGTCTCCACATGGATATTAGATCTTGAAAACAGCTGTGGAATCAGCCAACATGTACACAAAGAAAACAGCTTATTAAACATGCAAAATTTGTTGGTTTAGGCCGGGAGTTAAATGGGAAAACAAACATCACTAGCGCAATATAAAACAATAGAAGTTAATGGAAAGTCCCACCATAAACAATGAAACTTCAGTTTTATGTTTGTAGATTTTTTTAATATATATATATATATACATATATATATAAATCTATTTTTTTATTACTTACTTTTATATAGGTTAGTTCCTGCCCTTGAATTGGATTGGTCCAGCAGCTTTCCAATCTCGGCAGAAGTAGTAACCTCATTAATAGTTTAATAAATAGTAATGAATTCGCTTTTCACATTTTTGTTGTGTAATTCCTAGAGTGTCAGGCTGTGAATTTTAGTGGTGGGAATATTTCAGAGAGGTTACTTACTAGTGTTTCCACTATACTGGAATCTCTAACTTCGATACGATACCTTGAAAAATATCGATATTCGATATAATTTTCGATACCACTGGGGAAAACTACCATAGGCTATCCATAGGCTATACAGATAAATTATCATCTCAAAATTTTTTTTATATATATATATAATTTGGGTAATTTTGTTGTAATAGCTTACACACAGCACAAGGCTTTATTTAAATCGTTGAACTAGATTTACAAAAAAGACAAGTAAACAGTCACAGTAATATCAACCGAAGCGAATGAGAGGAGTGAGAGGAGACGGGTGTGTGTCAGTTCGCCATCGGAGAGAAGAGAGAGCGAGAACGTATAGCTGGTAACGGTATCAATACTGCAGAAAAGTAGTATTGGAACCATTTCAGAATTGATGCATTTCGAAATATCGATATTTTTGACAACACCAATTACTTAGTTACGACAGTAGGTGGCGACGTCTTTACGAATGATTTATTGAATCAGCCATTTAAACAAATTGTTGAACAACACTGATTTGTTTAGGAATTAATTCATTTGTCTTTATAATCTTTAGTTCTGCCCCACTGGAAAGGCGTTCCATGCCCTTAATAACGTGTTTGGCTGCTGTGTCACTCTCTGTCCTTCAACCATCGGTCTGCTGCGAGCTAGAGATGGCAAAGAGGTGCACTAAAATCAAGCCCCACCCTCTATTTTTTCCTCATTCAGAATTCGGTTTCATTTGGAAATACGTCACAGTAGCCTACTAAAGTCGTTCACAACTTCCGATTCACACAGAGTTTAACTGTTATAAAAACAACATTATCACACTCACAATGGTAAATCCCAGCTCTCATGATATTGCTCTCAATGATTGTTGGAATGTAAATAGACATTGAAGTGGAATCTGACTGTGCAGTTTCACACTTAACTTTCTTAATACAGAAAAACACCACAATTTCATGTAGCCATTGTTGATCGATTCTTGATGTGTCTAAAGCATCGAGAGTAGCCACTTGGCAAAAAATGGACACACACTGTGAAAAACCTGGAGCTGTGTGATTACATTGAGAAATCCAGGTTAAACAAATGTCTTACTCTGGTAGGCCTGGTTAAATGTATGAGAATGGAACATTAACGTTTCATTATCACTATTAATATCCATGCTCTTCAGCTCTGGACAAAATCCTGCATAACACCAACATGTTGTGTATGTTACCATGAGGGAGAAAGGGATTAGGCCTATTCATGAACGCATCTCAGTGATAGTCAAAACGTCATATGGAAACAGGTCAGAAGGGTCTTAGTCATTTACCTAAGAGGTAACTTCATATATCTGCATTGCTCATAAACTCTTAACTGTTTTCCAGGCCTAAGGATCCGACACATAGGATCACATTAACACCTTTTGCACCATTAGCCATGCTGCACTCTATTTTACAGCACAATGTAGATTAACGCATACAGAGGATCAATGGCCGTTGTAAGTATGGCAAGAGTCTGCTTGTTGGTGCATTAGAGGAGGTTCAGTGATATTAGGGTTTGGATTTAATGGAAGGGCGTCATGTTGAAATGGGGAGTCGGGTATGAATGATTACATGATTTCTTGCCTGGATTATTATTCCATACTCTAAATGGGAGATTTGTAAGCTTCATAAACAAATGCACTCATTTACGAGGGATTATCTATAATCTCGGTCTCCGTCTCTCTCCCACTCCCTCCCTCTTTTTCTCTCTCACTCGTTCCATCAGTGCTAATGTGGCACACCTCCCCTCCTCCCTCGCTCTACTCACTTGTTTTAATGTACCGTCGTCTAGATCTATTAAACACTTGAACCTTCTGGGTTTTTTTCTCTTGGTTTTGATTCTGTGAAACAATAATTAATTAATGATGAATGTGCAGACAATAATTTTTTGTTTGCTGCATTGATCGATATGACAGTGGTTTTGGATTTATACTGACATCTAGTGGTGTGGATGCAGTTTCACGCAAAAACCCCCATTAGCCAACCCGCGGCATGTAAAATAAATTAGCGTTTATGTGGTTATGAATGTCTTGTGTGACAATAATTTATTATTTTAAAAATACTATTAATTTTTGATAAGTAAAAAACAGAGGAAAAAATTAGTAAGTCTTTAATACTTAATAAATAATGATTATAAAGAAGAATAAATTACTCCCTGAGTTACATAATTGCCGCATTTGCTGCTTCTTTATTCTTTGATTTAAAAAAAAAAACTAACCACAATCAAAACACAAGACGTACTGAAACAAGGGGGGGGGGGGGGGGGGGGGGGCTCACACACACACACACACACACACACACACAGAACAGGTTCATGACAGGATGAATAAGCAGCATGGCATTTCATGTCCATGGATGTCTATTTTCTGATTGGCTCATTCATCTGTCATTCTTACAGTTCATCCCGTCTGCCTGTCACTCTATCTCTCTCTTTGCTCCTCTCTTTTCCTTGGCTTCTCCCACTGCGAGCAGATTTCAAGGCGCTCTCAGTATCCCCCTTCTCCTCTTTTACTACACTCTGTCCATCAGCTGTCCATAAGGCTTCAGCTTCCTCACGTTCCTGAAATGAAGTTAAACATATAAATAAGTGCACATAACATCTTTCCTCTTTTAGCATCTCTTGAAGGTGCCATAACAGCCCCATACCATATCTCTGTGGAGCTTTTCAGTAGTGAACCAGAGTGCCAGTGCACATCGTCGACCCTCCGTTACTGCAGTAACACCGTGTGGATTGACAGGTCCTGATGTAAATCCAACAAGTCGCCCACAGCTAGGCTTAACCTTTGCCTGAAAGAGAGAAAAAAAGACAGAGAACGTCTCAGGCAAATAATTGGGTCTGAACGTGAACACACAAATTTGGGCATTAAATCTACGTAGAAATGTTTTTGCGAGAAGCTATCCTGTGTATACAAGTAATATAGAAGTAATCCACAAAATGATTAGTGAACGAGACTTTTTTAATGTTATTCAGGAGATTATATTAAAGGGATAGTTCACCCAAAATTTTTAATTCTGTCATCGTTTACTCACTCTCAAGTTGTTCCAAACCTGTATAAATGTCTTTGTTCTGCTGTACACAAAGGAAGATTGTTGGTAGAATGTTTGTAACCAAACAGATCTCGGGCCCCGTTGACTATCATAGTATTTTTTTCCTACTATTGTAGTCAATGGGGCTCGAGATCTGTTTAGTTACCAACATTCTTTAAAATATCTTCCTTTGTGTCCAGCAGAACAAAGACATTTATACTTTTTTTTTTTGTGTATATTGGGAAATTAATCTTACGGTGACTGTTTTGGTGTCTCGATCAGTGAAGAAGAAATCACCTCCTTCAAAATCATCATTCAGGTAAACAACTG